ACCGAAATCTAAAAGCAACTTATGTTGGTTCTAAATTTGATACTGGTATTATGATAAATATGCAATTGATGATGTAACGATAGCTTGTCGTTATAATAAATTGTAATAAATTGTCGAAATATTCAAATGCAAATTTATTATTATTCTTTATTCTTTAAAACACTTTCTATCCGACGATCGAATCTCTTTTTTTATGTTTTATATCAGCCAATCAGACTTGAAGATCGTCAAAAGCTTAAAAAATTGATAACGGCCTTTTTACCTTACATTGAGTCAATAATTAAATATATCAAAAAAAACATAAATTTTACATATTTAATTACATTAGCACGGTCATTTCCGTATACATGTGATGCAGAACTATCTTATTTTTTATGGACTCTGACCCGGAGAGTTCTCAACAGTTACGCGATCCTTTAACAGCCCAACGATAACTCCGATTATCCGCCTTACATTGATTTGAAGCATGTTGGGGTTTTCTTTGATAGCCGTTTTTGAGAGATTTATTTGGTATTCACTATTGCTTGTAGCATATACACCATCCGGAGTGTATATGATAAAATGCCATTCCGTAGCTAAAAGTGTATCAGATGATTAATGAAAAATCATATGAACAAAATGTCAAGACTTTTTACAAAATTTTTAATCGATCATTCCCGAAGGAACGGTTTTTACTAAAAAAATTGTCACATACCTGTCGATACAATCCCATATAAGTAGTCAAAATAATCGTTCTCGGATGCCAGTTCCGCTATTCTCTTTTTCTTATTAGTTTGATATGCACTTTTAAGCATTAGTAAATTTTGAGCCTAACCAATCCTGATGTTACGGGATTCAGCCTCAGTAACGCAAAAGAGATCCTTAACGCTCTTTATCGCTATAAAAATATCTTCGGATGTATTTTGTTTGGTAATGGCGATTGATGCGTGCAAAAATGGCTGATATAAACTCACATCTCATTGCTTCGTTGGCATCGACCATAGTTTCCACATTTGATAATTTCAGAATTATATCATCCATGCAATGATTGAAAGCTTTGTAGTTATCGTCTATTTCCTCAAATACTACAAAGCGAAAGCAGTTATTATTCGATGAAAATTTACGGACCGGCTTATATCAGATTGACAGGCTTAGGATCGATTTGCCGAACACGTGATAGCACCTGAAAACTCTATGTTAAGGTTTTGGTTTGATTGAAGTTCATTTATTTTAGAGTTCCTCATAGCAAAATCACGCAAGAAAAAATTTTTTACTTAGAGCATATAAGCGGTTAATTAGATCAAATTCTGAGATATCCTCGATTGAATTTTTTTTTATTTGTTGGTGACTTCTTGTTGGCTAATTTTGGCTCGGAAAATCACGTGTTCGGGAAATCAATCCTACTCCCTGGCTGTTTGCTTATATCGAAAAGAAAATATAATTATTGCGTTGTTGGCTTATACCGGAAAGAATATAGAATTATTGCCTACCAGGTGTAACTGCTTGATATTCGTAATTTCTTCAATGACTTTGTTTTTTGAAGTATTTCTTTCAGATTATCCAGAGTTTTATGAGGAATAGGATCTTAATTTTTTATGAGGTTCTCGATGAATTTTGTGTTATTGTTGGCCCTATTTTAAGAAACTTTTCTTTGGTAAATTCTAGAAAGGCTGAACCAGATATTTTCACTTAAGGGTGTTAAAAAGTTTGCTTGACTCAAAAGTTAAGCTAACTTCAAGTTTTGCTTATGTATATGGGCTGCCGTCAATAGAAATCAAGCAGATCTACATTTGAAAAAAATTAATACCTTAAGTTTCATAGCTCATATTTCGATAAATTTTAAAGGTATCTTGATGATTTAATATTTAAAAGAAAGCTTAGATCGTAAGCTTTCTTTTAAATATTAAATCAT